CTCGTCGCCAGGTGGGAAGGAGAAAGGTAACACCGAGGGGAAAAGAGGCGCTCCCCATCAGGCGGTACCTTGGATTGCTGTTCCTCCAGGGCTCCTTTGCTGCTAAACGGTCTTATTTCAAGTAGCCCCTGCCCCTGCTCTTGCCTCTATCATTTCAATATCCCCGTTCTGCTTCCTATAATATTCTTGGGTCCTGCTATCTTGAGGGCCTACTTGGTGCTATGCGCTAAACTAGGTGGTGCGGATGCAGGGATAAATAAGCACAGTTAATGCCCTAAAGCAGCCTCTGTTCTGGAATAAGTGATAAACATAGTCAAATAAATCAGAGGTCAATGATTCACAGAGGGAGGAGGTAATTGCTGTGATTAAGAGCAGTGACGGACAGGAAGACTTCCTAAGGGAGGGGACAGCTGATCTGGGTTGAAAAGTTAACCAGAATTCATCAGATTGGAGGAGAGAATTTCAGTCTGTGGAAACAGCATGTGCAAGAGCAAGGAGACGAGTTCAGGAAATTAAAGTCAGTTCAGTTTATAGGAGAACAAAGCTCAACCAGGGAGAGGCAGGAAGTAAGCCTGGAGCGGCACAGGGCCAGATCCTGCAGGCCCTTGGGCACCATGCTACAGTGCTGGGATGTGGTCTGGGGAGCAATCATGAGCCAAAGAACACTTTAGACATAGGTCAGAGCCAGATTTATATTTTAGGAAGATTCCTTTTGCAGCAGAGGCTCGGAGTGGGGTGAGGCTAGGGACAGAAACCAATTGGGAGTTTATTGCAGTAGCACAGGTGAGAGATAGTAAGGGTCTGAACTAATAAAAAATAATTGTAACAACTATGCTGAAAAAATATTTTTTGGTATATTACCTAATAGGCTTTCCCCATCTGGTATTTCTCCTTTTGCCCTTCCCCCCAGAACCCTATTCAAGCAGCTAGGCAGCCTAGGCTCATAGCCTCAGGGGAGAGATGTGAAGAGGCAGAAAACAGAAAATATCCAAACCTTCAGAGGAACAGAGGAGACTCAGGGCTGGAACAAAACTGTTTGGGAGACCTGAGTTTGAAGAGAGTGGGTGTTCCCTGAGATCGGAAGGGACTCCCCTTTGACCCCCACCAGGGGGGAAGTAGAGAGAAGCTAGATGTTGGTGGCCCCAGGTGATAGAGGTCCCACTTCCTGCTTCCTGGGAAGGACCCTGGGAGCACAGGACCCTGAGAAGGATCAGTTGCATAATGAGCTAGGCAGTATGCCCTTAGACAGTTGCGCAGAAATTGCCCAATTCAGCCAGAAAGGAAGTATCTGGATGAGATACCCGCTCTTCTTCTTGGGAGAGGGTCCCTGGGGCTGAAAGGGCCAGGTGGATGAGAAGAAAGGTAGTGTCAGTGGATAGTAAATGGGTGGCCAAGGACCAGATGGGCTTCTCGCTCAAGTCTTAGCATCCAACACCTCCCCCAACTTGGACTCCACCTGGCAGAAAAGAGGAGACAAACCAAGCTGACTCACATTGTTTCCATCTTCCCAGTGGAATAGGGGCTTGAAACAGGAACTTAGTAGAGATGTATTTCTCAAATACCGGAGTTATGGACCAACACAACGTCAATATGCATTGAGTGCTTACTATATGCTGGTACTATATTCAGTATCATCTTATAAGGACTATCTTATTTAATCTTCACAATACAGATCAGGAAACTGAAGCTTAGAAATGTCACACAGGTAAAAAATGGTAGAGCCAAGATTCAAACTCAGATAGTCCAACTCCAAGCTTGAGTTCTTAACCACTAGATACTATACCACCTCCAAGACCACGGCCATGAGACTGCAGAAGAAAGGGTACACTGGAGAGAGGTTTCAGAGGTAGAACCAACAGGACGGAGAGCCAGAGGAGAGGGGGGAGTCATGAATGTCTCCCAGGTTTCTAGCTTAGAGACTGGGTTGGTGGTTTACCAACTAACACTGGGAACATAGGATAGATAGATGTGAGGAAACAGGAATTTTTCTTGGACAGCCTAAGTCTAGAGGTATACATTTAGAAATTATTGGCTTATTCGTGGTGTTAAAATCAGAAGAGTGGATCCACATAAAAGGGAAAAAAAATCAGAGGGGTGGGTGAAATGTTGGAAAAGTATGTAAAGTAAGAAGAGAAAGGAGCAAAGGGCAGAGTGTTGGAGAAGACTAGCATTTAAGAAGTGGACAGAAGGCCCAGCAAAGGAGACAGACAGGAGTTGTCAGAGCAGAAGAAAGAGTCAGGACACAATGGGTCATGAAAGCCAAGTGAGGAGAGAGTTGCAAGGATGCGTCAGATACAGTAGGAATCAAACAAGAAAATGATTCAGAAATCATCAGTAGATCATTGAGAGGTCATTGGAACCTTGATGAGAGCAGTTTCAGTCCCTGTCCCCTCCACAAATCATCCTCTCCTCCTCTTAAGGGAAGCCTGTTGAGTGAACAATAGATTGAGCTGCCTGTTTGGTCCTGGCTGGGCTGTGGTAGCGTCCTGAAGGCCCAGCCCATGGGCATAAGCTGCAGGCGGCTGGGAGAGCCTGCCTCGGGTGTGGGCACCATCTGTGGCACACAGCACCGTGCTGGCACACAGCAGGCACTCAGCAAAGGCTGCCCAGCAAATGTAGTGGGGCCCAACTATTTCCTTATAATTTTGTTTCTGGCAAAGGCCTCTCTACTTAAAAGAGGCCTTTTGCCCAGGTAAATGAGGACATTTGCTTTCTGATGCAGGCCACCCTTGGTGAGCTAGGGCAGTAGGTGCCCATTGTTCTGGGGCCTGCTGTCCTCCCATTAAGCAGAACTTGGAGGTTGCAGATCAGTGGAACTGGGAAAAGGAATCCAGGGGCAGGGAGGCTCTTCTGATCTCCAAGCCTTTCATGACCATCAACGTTTCACCCTGTTCCCAAATGTGAAACTACCACACAGAAGCACAGTGTGTAAGAGTGTGTGTGTGTTCATGTGTGTAAATGTGAAAGGGTTCACTTCTGGGACAGCCCAAGCCTCATTAAACCTTGCAATCATAGTGTAGTGGAAGGGACCCCAGGCTTGTTAGCCCAGAATCAGAAAACCTGGGGTCTAATCCCAGCTACAGGACTGCTCTGTGACCTCGGGCTACTCACACCTGCTCTCTGAGCTTGGTTCCTTCCTCTGTGAAATGAGGGTATGGGATAGATGATCTTTGAGGTTGTAGCTAGTAACAAGCCCATGATGCTTTGATTCATTTCTTTAAGTGAGGGACTTGAGGGGTGTGTCTGCAGGGGTGGGGAGCAGTGGGGCAGGAAAAGCAATGGAATCCAGGTATCTGTGCCCAAGCACCAACAGGGTTCAGCACTGAGATAGGGCACCTGAGCTGTCAATCAAAGAATTCCCTAGGAATGGAGGGCGGTACCTGGTTGCCTGGTAACCCCAGGGGCTCTGAGCTAAGATCTAGGGGAGGTAACCCGAGCCAGAGGGCCCATTCCAGAAAGGCAGCTGCAGAGAAGATCCAAGGAGGTAAGGTGTCCTGCGGCTGGGGCCCCAAGACCTGGTGGAGGTAGCCAGAACTGCCCCAGGGATGAGGACTTTGAAGAGGCAGGATTCCTGAGTGTTCTTAGGAGCAGGGGGAATTTCTTTAAAAAGAGAATCACTTCTGCCTGCCTCTCCTAAAAAAGGAAAAAAAACGGACGAAGAAAATGGGAGGGGCTGAGAGCCCAGTGCCTGGGTCTTTTCCACTCCTTTTCCTGTTTCCTGGGAGGAGAGTTCATGAAAGGGCTTTGCCTTTCAAGGGGAAAGATAGTAACGAGAAACACATGCTGATGAGACAAATGTATTTGAGTTTAAGAGGGTTCTGGAGACCAGAGTCAGATGTTGGAGACCAAAACTAGCAGCAGACAGAAAGCCAAGGAGATAGGGAAGAAAGAGTTTCCCCTTGAAATAGGGAGTGAGCAGTAAATGGAGAGACAGAATCCTTGCTCCTGGAAGTTGGCTCCTTGCCAATTCAATAGCCTATTCAGCTTTGTGCCCCCAATGCCTTGTATGGCTCCTGGCACATAGCAGGAGCTCACTGAGTATTTGTTAAACTGACTTGAAATATATCTTGACATTAAACAGCAGGAGTACCTACATTATGAATGGAGAGATGTATGTGGAGGCACAGTGTGACGATGATGGAGGAAAGGCCCTGTTCATTCATCCATTCATTTATTCATTCAACAAACATTTTTTATTGTGGTAAAATATATATAACATAAAAGTAACCATTTTAAATCATTGTTAAGTCTACAGTTTAGTGGCACTAAGTTTACTCACATTGTTTAGAACCATCACTACCATCCATCTCCAGAAATTTTTCATCCTAATCGATAAACATTTATTGAGAATCTATATGCCAGACTCTTCAAGGTGCCACAGATCTAGTAGGGGAGATAGACACAAAAATCAGCAATTCTAACCCAGTGTGATAAATACCATAAAAGACACAGGCTGGGGCCAGTCCCGTGGCATAGCGGTTAAGTGCGTGCGCTCCGCTGCTGGCGGCCCGGGTTCGGATTCCCAGGCGCACACCGATGCACCGCTTGTCAAGCCATGCTGTGGCGGCATCCCATATAAAGTAGAGGAAGATGGGCACAGATGTTAGCCCAGGGCCAGTCTTCCTCAGCAAAAAGAGGAGGATTGGCATGGATGTTAGCTCAGAGCTGATCTTCCTCACCAAAAAAAAAAAAAGACACAGGCATAAGGTGCTATGGGAGTAGGGAAGAAGGACCCAGTTGGTTGAGGGGAGGGGCTTTCTGAAGGAGCTGTTAGCCAAACTGAGTCTTGAAGGAGAACTAAGAATTCGTTGGGACATTAGAGAGAGAGCTGATATGGTGCACAACGGAGTGGATGAAGCAAAGTGAAATGGCAGAATGAAATCCTTGAAACCCTGAGGGTCACACCAGGCACGGGTAGAGCTGAATTGCCCTTGAGGGATCCTGCTTTGGAGGAAGCCAAAGGTGACATACTGACCCCTCTGCTTCCCATTGTCAGCATTATGTCTTCCCCCAACCCTGAGGACACCCCCCAAGAGCCTGAGCCCTCAAGCTCCAAGAAAACAAAGAAGAAAAGAAAGTGGCCACAGCAAGAGGCCAGCATCCAAACCCTCACTAAAGCTGGCCACAGGGCCCTACTGGCTGGCCGGAACCATGAGGCCTTGATCAGCTTCCAGAGGGCCTTCCTCTTGGCCTCCGAGGCCCCCCGAGAAAGGAACACTCCTGTTCTCCGGGCCTGTGCCTTCAACCTGGGGGCTGCCTATGTGGAGACTGGGGACCCAGCCAGAGGCCTTGAGCTGCTCCTGCAAGCCCAGCCTGAAGAGAAGGCACAGGGCGGGTGTCACAGCGACCAGTGTTTCAATGTGGCTTTGGCCTACCATGCCCTGGGCGACCTGCCTCAAGCTTTGGCCTGGTACCACAGGGCCCTGGGCCACTACCGGCCACTCGGTGACCAGGGGCAAGCCCAGGCAAAAATGGGAGCCTGCTACCAGGCTCTGGGACAGCCTGAGCTAGCAGCCCACTGCCTGCAGGAAGCAAGCCGGGTTTATGCCCAAGCAGGGCAGCCCCGGGCTGCAGCCCTGGCACTGGGGGCTGCGGCGGGGTGTATGCTGAAGAGCGGGCAGCATGGGGTGGGGGAAGTGGTGCAGGTACTGGAGGAGAGCCGGAGGCTTGCTGAGAGGAGTACCGAGCAGGGCCCACTGGGTAAGGCCTTTGGGCAGAGAAGGTGTGGGATGTGGGGAGATTCAGACCTGGTGATAGTCTCAGAGGGGGTGGAAGCAGAGGTATTTCTGAGGGCTGGGGGGCCCTGGGAGAGTGGGACAGGGCTGCACCAGTACAGCCTCACCGGCATCTGACCTGGCTACCTGTGACCCTGGTCATGCCCTTTAGGGCAACTCTATAATGACCTAGGCCTGGGCTACTCCCAGCTCCAGCTGTTCCCGCTAGCAGCAGAGGCCTTCCTGCAGGCCCTGCCCCTGTGCCGGGGGCCAGGAGAGGAGGCCACGGTGCTAAGAAACCTCGGGATGGCCCACAACGCCCTCGGCAACTATCAGGAAGCTCAGGAGCTTCACCAGAGGGCTGCCGACCTGCATGGTGGGTACCAGGGGCTGGGGAATGGGATGGGGTCCAGGGGTCTAGGAGGGAGGTTTCCCAAGGCTGAATTGTGGATGGACCTTTAGGACTAGTTATGAGGCCAGGAAACCCAGTACCAGGGGGGTGAGAGCTGGGCATGCAGGAGATGGGATAGCCAGACAGGACAGACGGTTGTGGGCCCAGAGGCTGAGGCCTGGGGTTGGGAAGGCAGCAATGGGCCCAGGGAAGAGCATTGGCTGCGATAAGGGGCCTGAAATGGAGCCCAGCACCTCCTCTGACTGAATGTGTGATACTCAACCAGTCATTTTCGCTTTCTGAGCTTTAGTTTCCACACACGTAAAAATGGAGCTGTTAATACCTGCCTTGCCTGCCTCACAGTGTTGCTGCATGGCTAAATGAGCCAGGGGGAGGCATTCAGGCCAAAACTCTGGACTGAGGAGAGTTCAGGGCTCTGTGGAGCATCTGGAGGTGTGCTGGTGCTCAGCTCCAGGACTCCTGGGACCTCCTGTAGTGGTTAGGCGGTAGGGTCCTGATGCCCCAGCGGCCAGGGTCCACTCTTAGGATGGGTCGGGCTCTGTTATCAGGCTCTGTGGGGCAGCGGTGGGAGCAGAGCCGGAGCTTTGGCAGCCTGGCCTTTGCACTGAGCCAGCTGGGGGACCACAAGGCCGCCAGAGACAACTATCTGCACGCTCTGCAGGCTGCCCGGGACACTGGTGAGGGTGAGGGGGTAGCAAGTGCCTTGTGTGTGTGGGGGGGTGCAGGGCAAAGGCCAAAGGTGCTTGGGGCTGGTGGGGAGGCAGATGGGGAACTTGGGGGTGGGGAATACCTTTGGAGGGGAGGGTCAGTGGGGTAGGCAGCCATGAGAGGACCTCTCAGGCTCTCTTCCCCAGGAGACATGAAGGGGCAATGGCAGGCCTGTGAGGGTCTGGGGGCTGCTGCAGCCAGACTGGGGCAGCATGATCAGGCCTTGAAGTACTATAAGGAAGCGCTGGCCCGGTGTCAGGTGAGACCCTCTGTCCCGAAATCTAACTCTTCCCTGCTATCCTTCCAGCTGACATTCCTGCCTTCACTCCTTGTCTTCTCCGCACCATTCATTCACTCATCAGACATGCATTGGGCACACTGTGTGCTAGGTCCCAGGACACTATTGTGAGGAAGAGTCCATCTCCGTCTACAATTCTGGGCAGGCCGTGGCAGGACCCTGGCAGAGGCACGGGGATGGGGCAGAAGAAGGGGAGAAAAAGCTCTCTTCCCTCCTCCCTTTCCTGTTTCTTTCTTTCCCAATCCCCAGAGGACCGCAAAGCACAGGCCTTCCCCTTTACCCATTATCCACCCTCTCCCCAGAAGGAGCCAGATTCTGTGCGAGAGCGGCTGGTGGCCAATCTGGCAGACGCCCTGAGGACCTACTTGGCCCGGGGTGGGCTGATCCCCACTCACACCCTGGTGAGAGGACACCTGAGACAAGGAGCAGGGGTGGGAGAGGTCCCCAGAGAAGGGGGTGGTGGTAAGCGGAGCCGACGTCCTCAGGGATGCTGTGCTTGCCTGCTCATCTGTGTTTACCTGCTGCGGGGCCTGCTTATGGGACATGTATCACTTTCCCAAGGCCACCTGGGGGTGGGGAGGTGGGCCGGGGATTGTGGCATGTCTCCAACACCAGGGCTGTGCCAGGACTTTGGCTGAGTGGCTGAGTGGTGACTAGCCCAGTGGGTGGAGGCCACAGGGTGCAATCCAGGATCCTGAGCCGTACTTGGGAGGAGGTGGAAAGTTTTAAGTCCTTGGCTGCAGTTCTCAAAAGGGCCACAGGATGGGGACAGTGCTCCAAGGAAATGCCTCTCCTGTTTTCTGGGGGGCAGTTCTCTGTGTGTCTCCACTATGACCCTCCCTCTCGGCTCCATCTCACCCTCTCTCTACCACCCAGACTCTCTCAACGGGTCATGTCTCTCCAGCTGCCTCCTCCCTCACACTTTGAGATAACCTCAGGCAGCCTCCCACCCCAAGAATTGAAATTATACTTTATTATATTTATTTCACAGGTTTTATGTCTTCTCCTATTTTATAGACTAGAATACTACAATTATAATATGCAAGTGAAATTCAATTAGCCTGGTACAAGCAGAGGACTGTATGGGAGTCAGAAGGCCTGGGTTCCATCAGAAGTCAGCCACTAACTTTCTGTGACTTTGCCCCTGGAGGTCCAGGCAGGAAGGGGTGGTGGTCAGGCTCTGGCCAGGTCTGCTAGTCCTTGAGCCTGAGTTCTAACTTGAGAGTTACTAGTGGGGACCTTAACAGAACAAAGGGCCTCACCCTGGAATTTCACTCTCAGACAAACGGCAGGCCCCAGTTTGTCTCTGGCACTTCTCTGTCTCTCTGGGGCCACCATGTCTGGAGGGAACATACATGCTAACACACATGCACAGCTGGGATGGCTGTTTTTCTCAAACGGATTCCCGTTACTCCCCTTCATCCTCAGACCTCAGCTCCACGGAGGCCCCAGGCTCCAGGTGGGGCCTGCCTGTCAGCGGGCACCCCAGCCAGGGTGGCAAGGGACACAGCAGAAGCGCAGCACAGGTAAGTGGGATGGGGACAGAGCTTCGGGATGGATGTGGCCTCCGGAGGGTGTTGGGAGGTGTCAAAGCCAGGTGGAGGGGGAGGACCTGTAGGTACCCCAGGGAGGAAGGGACCTGTCTGAGGTCCACTCTGCCCCCTCTTCTCTGCCCCTACAGATCTTTGGGTGGGTGTGAAGACGAAGAGTTAGAAGAGGGCCATGAGGAGAAAGAGGAAAAGGGGTCGGTAAATGTTCCTGTACAGTCCTCTTGGGCGTGGAGACCGGAGCGTGAGTCGAAGTAGGCTGTCCCCAGCTGTGCTCCTCCTCCCTGAAAATGGGAGCACTCTCCCCAGCCCCGTTTCCCTTACCACCCCCACCTCCTCAGGTCTGATGCTGAGGCCTGCCCCCTCAGCTCTCCAGGTTCCCAACCCCCAGACCAGCTCTTCCCCATTTCTGCTCCTCTCAAGGCCCTGGCCCATTTTCCCTGAACCCTTTCTGGAATCGCATCTTCTTCTCTGCTTCCATGACTTTCCTAACTTCTAGAACTTTGCATCATAGAGCATCAAGGTTTGTTGAAAGCCTACTACGTGCCTGGTACTGGGCGCTTTGCCTCTCCTAGCTCACTGTTTACTAGTCTCTTCCTCCAAAGGCTTTGGACTCTGGGGGCATAGTTCCTTGTTACTTGTTGACTTGAATTCACTGATGTCTTCTTTTCAGTGTGTTTTCTTCCAGGCACCAGTGATTCATTCCCAGTCTTGCCAATAGTCAGCCCAGGTTTGCCAGGCACCTGCCCTGTATAGGGCACAGTCCTTGGTGTACCCTCCGTGTACAGTGACCAACGCATCCCCTGACATCCATCCTCTTTGTTCTCCCAAAGCTTCCTCTTTTCCACTATGATGGTTCTTGGTGCAGAGAGGCCTGTGATAAACGTGTCTGCCCCTCTCCATCCAGGTCCAGGACCCAGGGCCCATGTCCCATTTGGAGGCCAAGGCCCCCTCAGGATGGAGTACTCTGGCATTCTGGTACCCAATGGTCCCCAAGCCAATAGGTGGGTCCCTGGTGGAGGGGAGGAGGCCTGGAGAATTAATAAAAGAAGTAGGAGAGGATGTGGCTTTGGACAATTTTAATGGAACATGATTACTGTTCAAGTTGGGGGAAGATATGGTCTGGTCCTTGCAGATGTAGTGCTCTGAGCCTCTTTGTCTTTGCCCGTTAGCAATCTGAACAACCTTCACCCAGCTCTGGAGGCCCAGGGTGTCCCCTGCCTCCTACATGACCTGACTGTGGGCCTCAGAGAAAAGGGGAGTCCTGCTGAATGGGGGGACATGCAGCTTAAGCCCACTCCCTCTTGCCCTGGAGCCCACCAGCAGAGGTAAGGGCCAGAGAGGGCAACAGAAGCTAGGGCCAGGGCAGGCTGCCTGCTGCTCTTTCCCCAGTCACTCCCATGGCGAGCCCCCTCTGCCTCCTTCAGGTCATCCGAAGGGCCCAGGAAAACCTCCAACAGGAACCCTCAGAGGAGACCCACCGAGTCTGGCTTCTGCACGATCATGTGACCCTACCCTGCTGGCCATGGCCCTGGCCTCTGCGCTGCCTCCCCAACACACACACATTCGCAGTTTCTGGGACCGATCCTCTTCCCAGTTGTTCAGCGCTGCATAGACATAGAACACAACACGGTCAGCTCTGTAGTGGGCTCTGCAGTCTCAGCACTGAGGTGTTCAGTTTGCTCCTCACTGGGATTTTTGGACTCAATATGCACAAGATAAAAGAGAAATGGATGCTGAATTTCCCCCTTTTCTTTCTGGATCCAGACATCATGACTGCTAGGGCCCTTGCCAGTTCGAAAAACTATGACTTCTTGGTCAAGAGGCTTTGGAGTCACTAACTCTCTCCAGACCTCCATTTTCTCATATGGGAAATGGGGCTATAATACTACAGAAGACCCATCCTAACGAACCGAGGCACTCCGCTTCTTCCATGAGACACAGGGGATGCTGGATGCAGGCCCCTCAGGCCCGTAGCCTGGAGGACAACTGCTGCCAGCAGCCACAACGATACTTTGTAACATTTATTGATCACTTAGTACCTGCCACAGGCTGTTCTAAGTGCTTCACAGATGTTTCTCCTTTAATCCTCACAACAAGCCCATGAGGCCCTATTATTACCCTCTTTCATAGACTAGGAGAAGGCATGAAGGTTAAGCAGTCTGTCCTCCCAGGTGACACCGCTAGTAAGTGGAGAAGCCAGGATTCAAACCAGGCAACGAGCCCTTTCCAGAATGTGCAGTTCCACTCCCCCAGTTAAGCTATTGCTTACCACGAGTTGGTTATGTTTGATACCAAATGTGTTTATGCTGGTTGTATGTGTTAATTATAATTTGTAATTTAATTACATATTATATAAATTGGTGAACTAAGTATGTGAAAACAAGCACTGTTTCTATGAAAACTAAGTTGAATCCTTAGAAGACTTGATTAAGGTGAGTCACTTTAAAAAGTGCTGTTGAGAGGCCGGCCCTGTGGCTTAGCGGTTAAGTGCGTGCGCTCCGCTGCTGGTGGCCCGGGTTCGCATCCCGGGCGCGCACTGACGCACCACTTCTCTGGCCATGCTGAGGCTGCGTCCCACATACAGCAACTAGAAGGATGTGCAACTATGACATACAACCATCTACTGGGGCTTTGGGGGAAAAAAAAAAGGAGGAGGATTGGCAATAGATGTTAGCTCAGTGCCAGTCTTCCTCAGCAAAAAGAGGAGGATTAGCATGGATGTTAGCTCAGGGCTGATCTTCCTCACACACACAAAAAAAAGTGCTGTTGAATTACATGTGAGCAAGAAGATTATTTAAGATTTAAGGGAAAATAATAAAAATCTAGGTGAATTTTACACTCAGATTGCTTCAAACATGCCATTGTTCCACCTTAAGGAAGTAAATTGGAAATTGCAGCTGATACGTAACCGGTGAGGTTCACGCAAGAAAGATGGAGAAGTACAATCATTGGCCCCATCCTGAAAGACAAGACCCTGGCCACACTTGGATAGATGGCAAATAAATGTACTTTTTGTTTTAAGTTAAAATACCATAATCCACTACTGATCATGTCAGATAAGAGGGCTCCTACTGTACTGTGAACTACTTCACGAGATTTTGAAGACTCGTTAAAATATTTATAGAGGACCTACTATGTGCCAAGCATGGAACTAGGTGCTGGGACACAGCTGTTAATCTTCCTTATCTAAATGGAGCTTATTTTGTCAGGCATTCAAGATGTCTTGATTTGGATGCAAGTTCACTAGCTGTAAGAAAGACCAATATAACAGTGCCTTTAAACAGAGAGAACTTTATTCTTTTCTCATATAAGCAGCCCAGGGCTGACACAGTGGCTCCATGAAGCTTGGGGAGTCAGGCAGGATGCTCTGCCAGCCTCAATACAGGATTGCCATCTCATTGTTTAAAACGGCTGTCCAGCTCCAGCATATCTTTTTTTTTTAAAGATTTTATTTATTTATGTTTTCCCCCCAAAGTCCCAGTAGATAGTTGTATGTCACAGCTGCACATCCTTCTAGTTGCTGTATGTGGGACGCGGCCTCAGCATGGCCGGAGAAGCGGTGCGTGGGTGCGCGCCCGGGATCCGAACCCAGGCCGCCAGCAGCGGAGCGCGCGCACTTAACCGCTAAGCCACGGGGCCGGCCCGCAGCTCCCGCATATCTTCATTCCAGCCAGTAAGAAGAAAAGAGGAAGTGGAGGAAAACATTCATTTTTTTAAGGTATGACCTGACAGTTGGATACATCACTTCTGCTCACATCTAACCGGTCAGAGTTTAGTCGTGGGTGCATGCCTAGCTGCTGCAAGGGAGACTGGAAATGTAGTGTTTAGCTGGGCAGCAGTGTGGCCAGATAAAACTCAGGGGTTCTGTCACCAAAGAAAGAAAGGAGAATGGATTTTGAGGGACAAGTAGCAGCGTCTGCCACACATGAGTATTGCTACTGGGTCAGGCCAACCCAATATCAACCATTACTGGCTCTACCATTTAATAGCTGTATTATCTTAGGAAAATTAATTGACTTCTCTCTGCTATTTAATTTCCTCATCTATAACATGAGGATAAAAATACATCACAGGACTGACAGGATTAAATTAGATAATATATGTAAAGCATCTGGAACTCAGCAGGTGCTCCAACCATGTGCCCTTCCTAAATTGGTTTCAAGTCATTTCCTAAAGAAAACGCCACAAGTCTGAAAGGCAGCAACAAGGTGGACTAGATCTTGGGCACCACCTTCCTGGGGACAGCCCTCATTTGGTTGTTTTATAAATTCCGGGTGTGTGTGGTGGGATATGTTTTGTTTCACTATTTTATAGCTACATCTCATCAGAATGTGAGCAGCAACAACCCTTTAATTACACATTTCTGCATTTGGGGAGGGCAGTTCAGTATAAAATAATGCTTCAGAGTGCAGCCTCTACGTCAAGCTGCTTGGATCCTAGCTCCACCTACAGCTATCACTGTATCATTGGGCATGTCATTCAACATCTTTGAGCCTCAGTTTTCTCATCTGTAAAATGGGAATAACAACAGGGTTGCTGTGAGGATAAAGTGAGATGATTCATGTTAGCACTTGGTACATATAAGTATTCAAAATGTTATTTATGTCAAAAAAACATGCTTCACATTGCCTTTTACAAATGAATCTTCATAATCACCAAACTTATTTTCTCAAATAGGCCTGTAGGGCGTCTTGACTTGACTAATATATAAAAGTGAAGCTGCTTATGTAGTGGTGAGGTTATAAAATAAAGGAGGTCTTGGATAAGATTATCCAATTGTACACTGTACATTACAATTTAGATGACTAAACTAAATTTCCAACCACAAACACAGTCTAACAAAAACAATTTTCCACCACAATCACAGTCTGATAAATTCAATTTCTCACAAGAAACATGTAAAACAAGATAGCTGGAGGCCCAGGGTATATCCCATAAGAAATGATAAACCTCTTATAATTAAAAAGACTATCAGAGGAATAGTTAAAAGCAGGAGTTGTTCTTGCCTTTCTCAGTGAACTAGCCAGGAATGCACTCCATGAGACAGAAAAAGAATAAATATAGCATAAAAACAGGACCTTCATTCCACCTGGATAATTATCTTCATTTTAGTGCCTTGATGGTAAGTGGTTTGTTATTCTGCAAACTTCTCCCTTAACCCTGCAAGAGTGTTTCCATTCTTAAAAGCCCCTGGATAAAAAATTTAAGGCTTCCTCTCCAGGTTTATCTTGAAATATTATCGTGACCTGGAGTCTATGGCTTCAACTACATTTTTAACCATGGCATACTCAACTTATTTAAGGTCAACCTATTTAAGGTTTACAATTTTCTATTTCCTTAACTATTATCTTGATAATGAGGAACAAATATTATGTATGATTAGGGAAATACAGCGTGCTATCCTGGTAAACAGGGGAAGCTAATGTAGTGGGGAGAGGGGTCCGAAGTTATACAGAATGCTCAGTAGTGTAAATAAGAACATTAGCTTAACTTATTGTGCCCTATGTACTAGGCCCTTTCGACGGCTTTGCATGCATTACTACCCTATGAAGTATGTACTAGTATCCCCGGTTCACAGGAAGCTGAAACCAGGAGTGCCCAAACTCACCCAGCTAGTAAGTGGTAGGGCAGGAACCAGGGTTAACTGCTATGCTAAACATGAATTATTATCATCAAAGGGCGGTTGGGAGCAAGGCACTTCGGTCCACCTGGAAAAGTGAGGCAATACGCAAACGCTCTCGGGAAGGGCTGGCTGGGATCCAGACTGCAAGGGAAGGTGCTCGGACGACGTCCGGCCAGGGTGGAAAGCCGTCCCAGGACCGCTTCCGGCAGAGGCGCGTGCGGGCCCAGCCTCTCGGGGGCGGGGCGAGAAGTCGCGCATGCGCCGGGGCGCGCGGGCGGGCCGGGGGCGCGCGCTCCGCAAGCTGCATGTCCGGGCTGCGCGCGCTGCTGGGGCTCGGGCTGCTGGTTGTGGGCTCGCGCCTGCCGCGCGTCAGAGTCCAGGCCGGCGCCTGTCGCGCGGGACCCACCTGGTGGGGGCCGCAGCGGCTGAACTCGGGTGGCCCCCGGGACGCAGGGATCATGGCGAGCACAGCGGTGAAGTACCTGAGGTAGGCGAGGCTGCGGGCGGGCGCACGGGACGCGGGTCTAGCTTGGACTGCTCTCCGTCCCGGGGGCGGGGCCTGGGGCGGCCGCGCCGCCTGCGCGACGGAGCACCGAGGGGCGGGGGCTCAGGCTGTGGGTTTCCTCAGCCAGGAGGAGGCCCAGGCCGTGGACGAGGAGCTGTTTAACGAGTACCAGTTCAGCGTGGACCAACTTATGGAGCTGGCTGGGCTGAGCTGTGCCACAGCCATTGCCAAAGTAAGTGGCGCAGATCTCGACCTTTGGGACGAGTCACTGTGCATGCCCCCTGGCCTAGGCACAACGGAGTGGGAGGGCAGCTGGGCCAAGCCTGGACTGTTATATTGCCCAAAGTCCCTCTGAATCCCCTTTGACTCTGCCTTTAGGCATATCCCCCCACGTCCATGT